CTGCTGAATATCCCACTCCTTAATTCACATAAGGCCCGTTATTATCTCTCCGAACCTGTGCTCCCTGCTACATCCAGTCTTCGCCTACTCCTGTGTCCAGTACCTGTCTCATGTCTCTCATCCTGTGCATCTCTCACACTGAATTGATTCTTACAATGTGTTGATCTTCAGTGCATCAGGCTTGTGTATGCTTACATCTAGAAGTGACTTCTTGATGGGTAGATACAGTACTTTTAGGAACATGAAATGATCTCTTTCTGCTTGCTCCATACGGACTGAGAAAAAGTGGAGAGAGAAGTCCCAGTTCCCCATCTGCTGCTTAATTCAGCATGGGGAACCTGGCACATTAGAATAATGGTATGGGTATTTGATGAAACGTATTGTATTATTGAGTGACTTCCAGCTTTTCTTTACATGATAAACTGGACACATATAAAGAGGAAGAAATCTAAAGTAAGGAAACCTCACAGTCAAAAATAGAAATTTGGAACTTTTTTTTTTTATTATTTAAACAAATGAAATTTAACCAAGTCTTGTAAAGAGTATATTCAGTTTTCAAAACTTTCCTAACAAGGTAGTTTTCAATGTTTGAGTTAATATAGTTGTGTTTTAAAACATAGATTAAAAATGTCAAATTGCTTGTCTTCAAAAAAAAAAAGAATAAAGCAAATTGCAGCAGGCGTAACTGTCACGACTGTAGTTATGTCCAGTTCATGGGAGAGGAGGGGAAAAGGACATCTGGATAACTTTGAGAAGTCTCTTGCATTCTCTATACCAATTTCTCCAGTCTTTTTTTTTTTTATTTCATCTAGTTTCTTAACTATTCCTTTAGATTTTCTTTATGCAGTGAAATACTTACGCATATATTTAAAGGTAAGCTTATGAATTCAGAGGTCCATGAAGTCTATGCAACTCATTGTGTGCTTTAAGCAGCGTGGTTTTGTGCATCATTAATAATGTCAGAGGACATAGTACCTGGTATTTCTTGTGTGATTCAGGAATTCAACAAAAATTGTGATCAATCTTGAAAAATATAAGGACATCCGGTTATTTACAGACTCAAATCTGCATAGAGTTGTGCATCAATTAACGTGGTAAGTCAGAATTTCCCGAGAGTCTATTCAGTAAGTTTACTATTTTACAATCTTGCAAATTTTGGAAAATTTAATACAGCCCTTCTTCAGCCCTAATGGATAGGAAAAGGAAACAAGGCAAAGCTAGAAAGAATTACTGGTTCTTTTCCCTTCTCACTGAGTGCAAAATAATTTATCACAGTTCATGGCTCTGAATTTTTTTTTTTAATGACTAGAATGAAGGCTCATTTTCTTTTGGAAAAGTTTTTCTTTTGGAAAAGTTTTGAGAATATCAGAAAAGTCTGATATTCTCAAAAATAAGATTTTTATTTTAATGGTTATTTTCATATAATTTCTTCAACATAAGCCCCTTTGGGTTTCCCTGATGCTTTCCTCCTACTTCAGTATCACTTGTAAATTTAAATAAGGTATCCCAAGGAGCTCTTTCTCAAGTGTTTTGTTTTTAGTACTGATTCATTTTACGCAGAGTGACTGATAATTGCAGAACAGCCTTTCATAGACACCTTTGTATATGAGGATGTTACCAGTGGGAGAAAAAGTCTCACATAGCCTGGAACATTTTACTTAATGTTTTTGTCATGTAGAGAACATATGACTTAATGAAAACATCAGTAGGTGTCTTGTCTTCAGGTTTAAAATATGCTTTAGAGAAACAATACTGCTTTTTTTTCTCTTTCCAAGGAGTTTTTCTTTGGAAAAGGAAATTCTAATATACTTGTAAACTATATTGTAACTTCTGCATCGTAGTGACATGTCCTCTACAATTTGATTTGTGGGAATATTTTTGTTAGAAATCATAATTGATTTTAAATTATAGACAATTGGCTAAACCCAAAGTGTTTCATCACAGACTCACAAGCATAGTTTGCCAGAGTTCCATCACTGGCCATGATGGCAGCAGCCATGGAGGTGTCTACATTATTGGATTAGTTTGCAGTGTAATGCACTTTTGGAGCAAACGCCCTGATTGTCCTCATTTTCTGTGCTTTGTTTCAGTTCATAGAGCATTTGGTATCAACCACATAATGCTCCTTCTTTCATTTACTTGTCTGGACAGCTTTGATTGTGTGTAGAGATTCTGCAAGCAGGATATAATTGCTTTGTGCTCTTAAACTGTAAAATTTATTGGCTAACACACACAGTAGGTAGCTGGGAATATTGCAGTACTCATCACCCCTGTGGAATGACCGATGAGTCTTTGCTGACCTGGCAGTCAACAGTCAGGTGGGAAAGGTTCAGCCTCCATTGCTCCCTGGACGGGATTTGTCTTCAGTGCTGCTGAGTCACCATCCTCCAGCTACCTAGTTGTCTTCCTTGAGATTTTATACCTTTTCATGTCAGTGCTTTTCCTCTTCAAGCCTGGAGCTGTTAACTAGCCCTATCTCAAGAATTTTACCTGTGTCTGGAATTTTACCTTTCCTATTTTGCATGGATACTAGTCTACATATTTTATTATAACTTTTGTTAGAACTAAGCAGTTTTCTCGGAAGACTTAGACAAGATTACACAACTGTGCTGTTGTGTCATTATGCAGTGGGTCACGGATAGCTGAACATCCAGGAGGATGATGATACCTACCTGCCTGCAAATCTTCATGACGCGCTCTTCCATCAGGATCTCATCTTTCACTCAAACATTTTCTGGCTCAGTATGCTTTCCTTTCTTACCAGCCCTACATTTTTCTGGTTTTACCTCTTACAGAAATTCTTTCCAAACTTGATCTCTCGCATCTCTACCCCTCTTTCTTTTATTGTGCTTCTTTTTCAATATTGCTGTTTCCAAATGATCTTCCCAATGGCCTCCCAGAAGAGCCAACAAGACAGGACCTCAAGAAAACAACGCTACCTGCTACCCACGTATGCCATCCTCATCACATCTGTGGCCTGCAGATCAACTGACTGGTACTTGTTGAAGTATAAATAAACACATCTGCCTTGCTGCAGTGAGTTGGGGTGTGAGTCCTACTGCAACCCCCACACAGACAGAATAATAGCCCAGGATTGGCTTATTAGGGGTGTATTCCTGAAGCACGTTGAGAACCCACTCTCCCTCATTCAGTTGATGTCCAGGCTCTGCACTGATTCAAGTTGCAGGGACCATTGCATTACTTGTAAGCAAGGTCTGCTTCTGCGTATTGTGGCCTCTTGCAGCTATTACTGACAGCAGTGCATCACTGTGTGGCGCTGGTGTGCCTTAGGATGGGCTGCTTAGGGGCCCACAAAACAGAAAGTTTTGTGCACTAGCTTTCCTTGGGCAGCTTCACATCACCTGGGAGCATACAGGCTGGGAGACCAGTCTAACTGATCTGAATTAAAATCCCTGAAACCCATACAGTGTGGGTGTAAGGAGCCTCAGCACCAACTGCTTTGATTCCTGATCTATCTCTCTTCTGCCTCATCACTTGCTAATACAGACGTACTCAAAATTGAGTCAATCACACACAGTGGACAAGGCATGCACCCTTTGACTTTATTCTTTTATACTTTACTGCAACTGGAACTTCAAACACACCCTCTTCCTTCTATCTCCAGTTCAAGTATGCTCCCACTTTCCTAAAGCAGCCCAATGGCCCCAACGTAAGCATTGAATTAAAAATTATTCACGTTTTTCACTATTGGTATATGTGTTGCTAACACGTTGAACAGAAGTTTAGTATTGAGATGCCCAAGGTAATGTTCAGCACCTCTAGCAATGTATGTACCCAATATAGGCTACTTTGTATTGCTTCGTGATGTTTATGAACTGCTTTAATTCAGTTGCATTTTTGTACATATATGTCTCTTTTCTATACCAGCTATTAACAAATTGTGTGCATATTTTTAAATATAAAGCGGGTTAAGAAGTGATGTAAAAACCTTCAATACAACTTGTAGTGTGGTATTTAAATTAAATAGTGAAATCTTTCCTAAGTACTGTTCAAAGTAGGACTAATGAACTGTTATCTTTTATCTGCCTAAAGAGTGATGAAAAATCTATTAGAAAGACAAATTTAATATAAAAAAAGCTATTTTGTACGAAAAGTACATTTGTAGTGGTAACAGCTATATTGCAGAAATGGTGAGAATACTCTATGCATTTTTTTCTTTCTTTTTTACCTCTGTTTCCATCTCTCAAAATACTGTCTTTGTTAACATTTATTGCATTCTTCAAAGCCTCAAGCTGTGACCCTATAAGATCATATATAAGATTAATATACCTTATTTAATTATATCAGTCTTTGCAGGATCAGAGCCTTCCTTTCAATTAAGTAATACATTCCAAGAGATAAACATCCTCAAATTCCATTAAAAAGTAAAAAATTTAAAAGTTAGAGAATACACCTCAAAAGTATCATTGTTTGTATCTGTGCAGAACTGTTTGTAGTTTCATTACATTATTCCCATTAACTCCGTAAGGCAGGAAACATGCAAATTACAGAATGGAATAATGTATTTTGTTATTCTCAGGAACAAAGCTAACTCAAACTTCATGTTAAAGGGTTGTATTAAATTCTAGGCACAACCTCTTTAATTGTTGCGGTCCCTGTAAATTTGTTCAGGGGGAAAGGAATTGCTAAGTAGTTTCAGAAATTCCTATTTCCCTTTTGTGGAAGAATAATGAAAAGTGTGAATCACACTTTCCACATAATTTAATGAAATCCTTCATTAATGAGAAACGACATTTGTATTCCATATTAAATAAGTTCTTTGTGCATGGAAAGTAACTCTCTTAATTTGTTTAAAATTGCTAGGAATCTATTACCTTTATAGGACGAATACTGATTGCTATGCCATTGGTATTTTCGCAACCAAATCAGTTTGAAATGAAGGTTACAAACAGCATGCTGAACCAATTGCTGGAAGAGAATATAGCATTATTTTTCAGTACTACTTTCAATTAAAATGTACTCCTTCTGTAATCCCACAGCTGACCAAACAAGAATGTTATTTATAGGAGATGCAATAATACAGGTCAGTAAACATTCACTTTTTCCACAGACATTTGTTTAATACTTGCCTTTATGTTTATGTCATTAACTAACTTACACATTGCAAATCATTTTCTCCCTATCGTATCTGTTTTTAGGTTAATGGTATAAATGTAGAAAGTGCTACCCATGAAGAAGTGGTAAGTCATTCCACTTTGATTTTTTAATAGTGTACAGAATATCCTGTGTCCATACTGTTCTGTCTCTAGCCTTTCTTCATATGAGTTTACTCTTTTTTACTATAAAGACACAGTGCTGTAGTCAGGTTTGTCATAAATGTGATTATTAAAAGCTTAATTTTGGCTGTTAGCATTTGTTATAGTTTCTGCACTCTTACTGTGACTCTTCTTCATAGTAAGATATATGAATTTGTGGCACAGACGTATTATTCCAAAGTTGAGTCTCCATCATTGTTTATTATAGTTTTTGCATCCCTTAGATAAAGTAAGTATTTCAAAGCACAAAATAAGGCAAAAATGCAAAATCCTGGTAGGTTACCTCTGTTCTGTTCAGCGGAGTGCAACTGCTCTTCCCAGAATAGGAACTATATCAGTTTTATCGATGAACACATGATCTCTTTTTTTTCCCTGTAAACTGTGCACTGGGCTGCTTGCCATGAAAATTCAATAGAATGCAAAGAAAAAATTAAAAGGCCTTTACTATTTAAGAATGAATGGTGAAAATACGAAAAACATGCATTACGTTTTTATGATGCTACTGTAGGTACCAAAATGTCCTTTGGGTGATTACAATTAGTCTTTCAGGGGTTGCAAATAAATTGAATAGTCTTTTATATATATAAATGTATATGGATATATAACACATGTATATGGATATATAACATATATATATGTGTGTGCACACATATAGTCTTTATGGATTATGCCTTTGGTATAGTGCCTGATCCATTGGGATTGAGGGTGCTCCTAAAGGGTTCACCTGCTGTGGTAGTACATTTAATGGTAATTAAATTCTCACCTTCTTAGTACTGCAGGAACAGGGATTGAATTAGTTTAGTAAAGAATCTGATTTAACCTACTGTAAAAACAGCAGTTAAAAATTAGCATATGTGGGGTGAGTGTCATGATCCTGCTAAGGTATTTAAAAACTTTGATTCCCATTGCTTTCAGTGCAATTGAAAGGGACTCAACTTTTGTAGGTCTTACCCTTGCACACACTGAAAAATAGAAAATCTAATTAATGTTTTGCTACCTATTTCTAAATGTGCACTTGTGTGAGAACATGGGGATTCCTGATGGGAAATATATAAAGGAACAGGGTTGTTTTATTTGGTGAAATGTTGTAACTATTTCAGTTGTGCCCTATTTATATTTATGTACTATCTACATTATTGTTGTGGGCTGTGGTGCACTGCACAGTGCTCCTGTTTCATGTTAAGACTTCTCAAGTGCTACGGAAGTATAAATAGTAATAACAATAGCATACAATGTTATACTTAAACTGTTTCTAAATGTTGGGACAAGAATGGGAGGAATTGAGAAACCAGTGGTGTTACATATTTTTAAATTTCATCTTATTCTGTAAGTCATTTTAAGATACTATTTATCAGATTTTGTGGAAGTGTCTTTATGAGGAAGCAAGAAATGTGCTTAAACATGGGCACTTTTTGATGGTATGCACAGGACTAAGATGCATTTCCTGTCTTCAAGCCTGAGTAGGCATATTGGACACATCCTAATTCCTAGCTGTTACTCCCAGAGGTTATAAGGCTATAGATAATAAATAACCATAATAAAGGAATCTTGTACCTAATAAGACCATACCCACATGCAAGAAAGAAGAATACAGAAAATATACAAAGATCTCAACTTCAGGCTGGGAGGAGATTAAGGCACACATCTCTCTATCTCGGTTTTCATGGGAAAACCAGTGCGTGTGGATTGCTGTGATACACCGAAAAGGTCCCTTGCCCAGGATTGTACAGCACACTGTGGAATGCAGTCACAGTTTCTGCATAGCTTTTGAATCTGGTGATGTTCAGTTTGGAGGAGTCTTGAGATTGAAGAATGGAATTATGGTGACTAGTTCTAGCACGATATGCTGACTCTCGCTGGTGCATTCATTTTCATGGTAATGTTCAAGAAATGGACCAAGGTCTTCCAGTGAGTTTTTAATTTGCTTAAAAGGAAAATTATTAAAATGTTTTTTACATTGCTTTATAGAATTAAGACGGCAAGGACTTCTCTTGGGCAAAAAATAAAATAGGGGACTACTTTCTTCTTTTAAAGAGTGCTGCTTAGCATTTTCAGTGCTTAGATGCTTGCAGCCGAACCTCAAATAAAAAAGCACCTATCAATAGTTACTTTATATTACCTATCAGAGTTTAGACAAGAGGTAAGCCAGAAGTTGCTGGCTGAATTTCCAGAATATTTTTACCATCACATATTCTCCAGTGGGCCTAAAATGAATATCTTAGACCAATGTTCTGGCAGCATTTCTTGCACTTTCCCCTCCACTTCATACTCTGCCCCAGCTGGAGAATCACTTCCAGAGCAACACTCAGACTAATGCCTTGAAAAGCACAGAGGATGGGATATGGCTGGGAACCTGTCAATTTTGGAAGCCACTGAAACAAATCACCAGCTCTTGAGCAGGTGTATCAAAATGGTTCCTAGCAATAACATGTTTCATAGCATCTGTTCCCTGTGCTGCCTACTCTCACCTGAACCACTGATACCTCAGCCCCATCCTTCTCCTATACATCACTTCCAACAATTCTGTACCGTATAGCATTGATAGGCCACTGCCTCTGCTGCAGTGATGAATGCTGATTTGGTAATGGATAGCCTAAGGTTCAGCAGCTTCAAGGCTTTTTCTAAGGATTCTTACCTAGTCTTGTAATTATGAAAATTTTATTGGATTTCATTTGAAAATGTAGTGGGCATTTGCCATTCTTACTGACTTAAACAGCAGTCGATAATATGCTTATTTTTTTTCTTTTACTCTTCCAGTTATTTCATGCAGTTTTGAAATACAGTTTACCACAAAGTTTGGACTAACCTGAAACAAAATGATTTATTGAATAGTGGTTAGTTTTTAACTGGTTTATTTCATTTATCAGGTTGACTGTATGTGGATAAAGCCAGTTCACATTCACTCCATGTGCAGTGCTTTTCCGGTCTGCAGTGCAAGGCAGTAGATAAAAATTGTTACCCCCTGTTGCCTGTTTATTGGCAGTTATCAGTCGATTCACTGAGAACTGTATCTCAGAATAGCATCTGTAGCAACCATAAATGACATGGGCTTTGACAGTCTTATCAGCAAGGCAGAAATTACATGGGCAAAGGAACTAAACTTGCTTTTATTACTTGGAGGTGATCTCTCTAGGTCAAGATAAAGTGCAGCTGCATGATCTTGTGGTCCCTTTCTTGGTGTTGATTAATACCATCAGGCTGAATCTCTAGAATAATTACAGACAACCTCAGTAAAGCACAGGGTCAGGTCTATTGTGTACCGGTGAACCGCCCTCCTGCTGCTTGTATTGTTATTGCACATACAAAACTCTCAACTTCCTGAAAGTTATTCCCCACAAAATGGTAAGTTACATCCCTTAAGGATCGTTTTTCAGTACCATGAAGCGCTCCAGAACTGTCGATGTAACACAGCTGTGCTGCAGTGGTGAGGAATGACAGAGAAATGCATAATGCTGCTCTTTGCCCTGTACATGGGAATTCAATAGAAGCATTGAACAAAACTTCCTGGAACAATTGTAGGCCATATGGCTGAAGGAAGCTCCAGAAGGAAGAGAGATCTCAGTGGGCCAGGAGATAGATCTGCAAAGAGACTTTTCTACTACCACAACCTGCTATTATAATCAGAGTCGGGTTAGATAAATGGGTCAGGTGGTAGAGGAAGGGGCTGATTTTATGAGATTTGAGATGAGGTAGGCTATTGCCAAAGTTCCTGAGAGAATGAAAGATGTTTTATTTCTTATTTTTATCAAAACTATGTCATTGCATTTTTATGAAATAATAGTTGAGATTTCTCATCCAAAATAAAAACCTCCTTATGTGAATATGGTGTTTTTGCAGTTGAAAAGAAATGCTTCAAAAAGAAGGGTTCATTTAATGTCCCTAAGCTTTCAGCTTGTAGGAATCAGTTGTTTGTCAGTAGCTGCTCTTTGTAGATGGAACATGTCAATGATGATGTGCTTGTCTGCCTCCTGTCAGGAGGTTAATATTTCTCATCTCATTTTTGTTGGATTACGGAGGCCCAGAGTGTGTGCGCTTGCACACAAACATGGCACATAAACATCTAAAGTGAAGTTTATATTGAATTTAGGAATAAGTCTAAGCAATGCATTTAATTTTTAAAAAAAGGAAGCCTTCGTCTTACATTCTTGAGGGTCCATGGATCCTTATGTCTTTCTGTTTGATGAAAGTGGATATGTTTAAACTTCTGGTATGGCACAGATCCAGAACTGCAATAACGTTTGCTTGAAAAAGGGCTTCTTTCATCTGTAAGGTTGTTAAGGTATGCAAAATAGGAAGTCCCACCCCTAAGTTCCATTTAGGGTTCAGAGACCACATAAACCATCAGCTTTGAGTTTTACATACAGTGCAGTAGGTTTGGGCACCTAGAAACACCACCAAAGAGGGTAGTGTTACAATGTATTAAGAAATTAATATAGTAGCTTAGTGATTAAGGGTACTTGTCCAGAAAGCAGGAGATTAAGGATGGAAGACTCATCTAACTTTTAGGAAGTCATACCTGCATCTTCTACCTCTGTAAAGAGTGCCCTATTTTCTAAGTGTGTCAGTCAGGTTAGGTGAGAGGCACTCCAGCAGTTCTGTTCAAAAGACACTCAGCAATGAGGCTTGGGTAGTCTCTATTCACCATGGGTTGCATTTTATACTTAACATTGTTAACATCATACAAAGTATTTAATCAATGGGATCCTGTCAAAGGTTATTGAGTAATTCTTTTGGCTTGCTTTATTTTCATCTGGCACCATGATCTCTTACATATTCAGTCATCTACTTCAAGATGGGACTTCTGAAACGTCATCCTCCAATATAGTTTGAACACACTTCTTCTTGCTGCTTGCATTCTGGGTGGTGAAAACCTCTTTTATAAATACCTGACTCAAGATTATGAATTGTATTGTGTGATCCAAGGG